CCCCCAACGCACACACATCACGGCACCCTGCGCGCACCCTGCCAGTGACTGCGCGCGGGACCATCGGGTCGACGTAAACTTTTGAGTGAAACTTTTTGACGCCTCCTTCTCCTCACAAAGTCCTGTCAGGCGGGCGTCCTTCCCTCGTTAAATTTAACCCCCGGCCCGGGCCGGCTGCGCTGCGCTGCGCGGGGACCGGAGCCGGGAGGCCGGGTGTGCCACAGGCTGCCGCGCCGGCTGGGGAGGCGGAGAGAGGCTCGGGGGATCGAGTCCATCCTGCCTTCGATTCACTCCACGAGTCGGGGCGGCGCGCCCGGGACTGCGGGACCGTCTGACAACATCTCAATCCAGACGCCAGTAATTCTCTCGCCCCTGCAGCTAATTTAGTCAGTTTCGAATGCGGCGTCAAAATACACAACCGAATATTAAGAACGACGATAGTGCCGAGGTGAGAGCCGTACCCGCCGTACTTATCCTGAACGTCCCCCCTCTGAATTTCCATTTCTGCCTGACAATCGAAATATAAAAAGGGGGAGATAAATCTAAAGAAGGAGTCTCAATTCGTGAAAAAAGTACCGTCAAAGAACGGACAGTGCAGGCAGATTAGTATACAAATTTGAGACTGGTCAGCGTATTATCCACACCCAGAAATGTTCAGCCTCGTGGTCGTTTCGAACGAGGGGTGGCGTCAACATCAACATATCAAAAGGTTGTGGAACTGTACAATGCCGGGTGCTTTTTGCGCGGACATTTGCCCGCCGTTTAGTTTTTACGGGGCGGGCCGCGGGCAGCATTCTCACGCCCGGCGCGACGCTGGACAAGCGCCCCGGCCCGCGCGGCGACCCGCTGCTAGTAGTCGCCGTGCGCCCGGACACGTGTAGCCACAATAAACAAGTGCGACAAAACCGCGGCTGTCCGCCCGCCGTAAAACTTGGGCCCGGGCGGCGCGGGCGGCAACGCGACAACCACGCAACTCGTCGGCGCAGCTCGCGCAGATACGGCGCGGTGGCGCGGCGGTACGAGAGCCGGGAGGGCTCATTTTGAGCGACGTTGTAGTTGTTAAACTTATTACTGCTTGTCTTGAGATGCCCCTCTGCCCCGCCCCCTTCCCTCCACTGGAATACGCCTGCTCGCTACCCCCCTGCCCCCTCCTCCTGCCGCTGCCCCTGCCGCCCGAGATAGCAGACCGGTAGTGCCGCGGCTGACACATGTAGGCCGCCCTCTGTTGCAAGCAGTTGTCACATAACTAACGGCATCAGAATCGGTGAAAGTGACAGGGGAAGGAAGCCCCCCTCCCCCTTCACCTTCTCGAAAAAGAAAGATACAAGACGACGTCAGGACGCGCATATCGCACCTCTGGCACGATACCGCTTCTACTCGGTGCTGATTCCGTCACTCATCTCTATGCACGGCGCTCAACACGGCGCTCTACCCGCTACAGCGTGCCAGAGTGGAAACATCCACAGCCGCCCGTCGCTAGCTATGCCCTGGTGGTCGCGGAACGCTCCGCTGTCTACCTCCGGAGGACCCCGGCCGCGGCGACCTGGGGACGGCGTTATGCGTCAGAGGACGACCTCGACGACGTGCGCGCGGCGCCAGGAGGGGGACGGGCTGGGCGGGGAAGGGTTCGGCAGGGCCTGATAGCGCAGACAGTCCGGGAGGCCGCGGCGCCTCCTGTCCAGTCTGCCGAGGACATTTGGACGATCCGCCCACCGGCACCGGAGCGACATGCTCGGCCTGCACCTCGCCGTCTGCCTCGCGGCCGTGCTCGCCTCCACGGCGCAAGGTACGCTCGAGCTACTCGCAGTGTGTTCTTCCTGAGTCTCGAGTCTTCAGCTTCATCGTAAGACATTTGCAAAATTGTTCTTCGCGAAGGCCCCGAGACGTACGACCCTTCCTGGTCGAGTCGGCTGGAGGGCTACGGCCAGACGTGGATGTACTTCCCCGACGGCCGCGGCGTCCCCCGCGTGGCGCTGCTCGCCTCGGACGAGAGGTCCACCCCCAGCATCCCCTCCGAGGTCGGCCCGGACGACGTCTCCTTTTACCTGTACACCAGGTAGCGCTACGACGGCGTCGGCCGCCTCACGTCAAGGCCGGCCAAGGCCGCGCTTGCCATAACCCGGCCGTTGGCCGCCGCTCCGTTATCTAGTGTGAACGACCTCGTTGTCATCCAGGCGTCAGGAGCTGTCGGAGATTATTGACGTGGACGATCCCAACTCCTTATGGCAGTCTTCCTTCGACCCCAAGCGGCCCACCCGGATCGTCACCCACGGCTGGAGGTCGTCATCCGACGCCGACGTCGTCCAGATCATCAAAAGCGGTGAGTCGACCGCGGTCGATGCCCCTCTTTTTCCCCTGCTCGGCGGTTGACGTGAGCATATGACTGCCTGCAGCCTACCTGGAGATGGAGGACTGCAACGTGATCGGGGTTGACTGGTCGCCCCTCGCCAGCAGCAAATTCTACCCCTGGGCCAAGTCCTACACCAACCCCGTAGGCAGGTGAGCTGGCCTCGCCGAAAACAAGTCTTTGCGGTGGTGCAGTTTCATGCGCCGCAAGTCCCTAGTGAGCTCACCCCATCCTGGTCCCGGTGTGTCGTCCCAGGCGGGTGTCCGAGCTCGTCAAGATGATGGTCGGCGAGGAGAAGTGGGGCGCGGACGGCGACAGGAGGAGGAAGAAGAAGAAGGCCGTGGGGACGGACAAGGGCCGCGCCAAGCTCAAGGACATCCACCTGCTGGGCCACAGCCTGGGCGCGCACCTCATGGGCTACGCCGGCCAGCACCTGCGGCCCCACAAGGTGTCCAGGATCACAGGTACCTAAGCCCACTGGGCTCCCCTCCGGCAGAGAGCCGCACGGCGCCGCATTCTCTGCTGACCGCCGTCGCCCGCGTCACCTGCCCGCAGGCATGGACCCCGCCATGCCGCTGTTCGAGATCCTGCCCAGCTCCGACGGCCACCTGGACTCGTCGGACGCCGAGTTCGTGGACGTGATCCACACGTGCGCGGGGGCGCTCGGCTTCCTGGACAACATCGGCCACGCGGACTTCTACCCCAACGGCGGGACGCCCGTGCAGCCGGGCTGCTGCTGCGCCGCCGAGTTCGCTGGTGCGTGGTGTTGCCCTTACCGCTGGACCTGCTCGGGCGGCCGCGACTAACGCCCTTCTATCTCCCTCCGTGCAGAGGCCTGCAGCCACGGCCGCTCCTACCAGTTCTTCGCCGAGTCCATCCGGTCCAAGGACTTCGTCGGGCTGGCATGCGACTCCTGGGAGGGCTTCCAAAACGGTTCCTGCGCGGGCGGGCCGACGGCCGTCATGGGGGAGCACACGTCGCCCGGGTGAGAGCTTTAGGTGGCGCTGGCCCTCAAAGCGTCGACGGCGTCCTCGGCCGGCTAACTGTCCTCTCTCGTGCCCCTCAGGACCCGCGGGGTGTTCTACCTCAACACGATGCGGTCGGCGCCGTTCGCCCTCGGGGAGCGGGGCGCGCGATCGGCCAGCTCGGCCTTCCACGACGACTACGACTACTGACTGCCAGTCCACTCCGTCATTACAATCAAAAGTCTCTGCCTCCCAAAAACTTCGACTATATTTTTTTAAAAAACATATTCTTCCTCCTCATCAACTTGCGGGGCAGACGATTTTTGATACCATCTTTGTTTCCTTGGACTTTCTCTCTCCCCCCCCCCCTCTCTATCTCTCTTTCCCTCCCCCTCTAAAGTTTGTTCCCGAGTCAAAGGCAGGTAAAGGGCAGTGGCGTGGTGAGTCGACGGGTCAGCCAAGCGCTGGCTCGCGCCCTTCCCCTGTACACCCTCCCCCCACCGTAACTCTGGCCACTGCGCACACCCTCCGCTCTGCCCGGGCTGGGTCGGGTCTGACGGCAGATTAGAGAGCAATCTGAGATCAGTCCGGTTTGTTGATTAGTGGACTAATGAAGATAGAAGGCCCTGGGTGGTCCCCACACCCTCACGCCCCTCGCCTTCATTTACTCCCCCTGATCCAGCACCAGTGCCCCCCAAGACCAGCCCCTCTCCCCTCCCCCCTCCCTATAAAGGTCCTGAAATCACCACCACATCGCGAAGGGTACCCCGAGGCTGGGCTTCCTGCTCCCGAGGTCGGGCTGCGCCTACACCCCCGCCTCTCCCTCTCGGGGGCCCACGCCCCGCCCCGCCACGCCCGCTGTCCGCTACCCCGCTGTCCATTGCGCGGTGCCCATTCCCTGCCTGCAAACACATGTGCGCTTATGGTAAGCGCGGTGATCTACATGAGATGCCCGGCTTTGTTTCCCAAAGTTTGCCCAGCGAACGAAAGGGGAATGAAAGAGAAGGGGAGGAGGTGGGATGCGAAACAAAAGTTTTCGGTCCCGTTCGAATGCCCGCCACACCCCGCCCTGCGCGCCACGACGTGAGAGGGGAGGAAAGAGTGCGAAAGAGAGGGGACGGGCGAAACTTCATTCTGGACCCGAAACATGAATGGTTAATAAAATACGAGTTTCTTTTCTTTCCGACGGAATGAGACGAGGCGGCGGGTCGGGTAGGGCGGCGTTCTCACCCCTACCACTCCCTACTGCCACTCCTGCCCGCGCCACGCGGGCCGGGGCGGGGCGGACGCGTCCTGGCGTAGGCTGGTGGAGTGTTGGCAGAGGGTGGTTGTGTGGGGAACGTGCCCCGTCCCGGCGTGTCCTGTGATCAGAGCAAATCGACCAAAAGCGACCGCGCTATTGATTCAGCGCTGGGCTTTATTGGCCGATCGCTCTGTTCATTATTTGGGGGAAACACCTGAGCCCATAGGCCCTATTGTCCTGCAGCCAACCCCAACCCGGCCTACAGTATAGTGGACAGCCGTGGCCACCATACTGGACATCGAGTCGAGGCCAGAACAGCTTCAAACTGGAGCGCATGTCCCATGCTCTTCGCCGCGGCGCGGCGGCAACAACTCCGGTAATCATGTGTACACCTGCCTCATCGGGATAAACATTAATTGAAATCAACATAAATAGCTGAAACTGAGCGGGAAACTAGAAGAACTGGAACAAATTAGTCGAAATAAGCGTTTTCTACCAACTAGAAAAACTAAGGAATAAATATAAGCGGACGGGAATCACTACCGGGAATCAAGTATTTCAGGAATCGTGTATAAACATCAGTTGTTTCCCCCTAGCTCCTCGCAAACTTTTACCACAGAAGACCTAGGCATAAACACGCACCAAATTGGTAAAACTCCGATTATAGTTTGTCCCACGGACCACAACGAGGACCACAATAAACAACATTGCTCAACATTGGAAAGGTGAGAACCAAAAATGATTTCCTCCCAAAATTTTAGACAGTCCCTAAGACTGTCTCCACCAGATGGAAAAGTCTCCCCGCCTTCCTCCTCGCTCTTGTCTCAACCATATTTTGTGGTGTTGCCCGAAACGACCAAACGACGAAGGTCGATGGCTGCCAGAGCTAATCATTTTTCTGCGTGTAGTGGTAAAAGAAGGACTCTGGAAGGTGACCCCCTCTCCCCTCCCTCCCCCCTCCCTTCCTCTCACCTGCCGGGGAGTAGGTCAGGGTGGAGTAAGGGCTGCAGGGCGCGGGGTCGGGCGAAGGGGGGCGTGGCTGTGCCACCGACAACTTTACAAATAAATCGAATTCCGCGGAAATAGAGACGGATAACTTCGCAAGGGGTCCAGCTAGCTCCGCGGCAACTTGTGTTTCTTCTCCTAAACGCCGTAGCTCTCCGCTGCGCCCCGTCCCGCCGAGGACGCGGGGCGGGCGGGGGCGGCGGCGGGGGTCTGTTTGTCGGGCTGGTCCCGGTGGCATCGACAGACCATTACGGTCCCCGGACGGCGCAGGATTAGGATTCACTGGCGGCTCCGGGCCGGGGCCGAGGCCGGCGAGGCGGGCGCCGTGGAGGTAGGCAACCCAATCGGCACGGTGGCGTGGCTTGCGGCTTGAGCTTGGCGGAGCGCGGTCTCCAAACGAGCACCTCAGGTGTAAGATGTTTTGATTTCGTCGTTGGTGCTTAAAGCTCGAAGCAAACTCAGTCGGTTTGTCGCAGTTTTGTAGCGATTCGTGTGATTTGGTGCTTCCCCTAAATCATGGCACCCTTTTCCTATAGCATTGATTTTGGTCCCATCGTATTTCGCAGGAAACTCTGGCGTGGTCAGTCGCTCTGGAGAGGTGTTGTGGTGAGCTAGGGGGCGGGGGGTGGGGGGGAGTACTTCAATCTTGATTCCGCTGTGATCTGTTTGGCCAGTGACGTGGGTGCTGCCCGTTTGTCCTTCCCTGGCGGGAGCTCTCTCGCCAGCCAGACCAAGAGCCCGGAGCCCGGGCGGTGGTGCGGCGCCGCTACCGCTCTCGCAGGAGACAAAGTGAGGATGAGATCAGGAACGGCGATACCTCCGATATCTCGAGCCTCGTTACCAGGACTCTGGCAGGAGGAGGAGGTTGGGGGGGGGGGGGGCAGACCCACAGGCACATTATGCAAATCGGGTCGAGTCAAACAGGCGTGTGAAACACGACTTGCTCTCTCCACTGGCTGAGCAACGCATTCGGATTGGAATAGGCCAGCAAATTGCCTACATTTTGCAATTTTATTGGGGGGAGAAGCCCAGTCCCACGCCAAGGCCCAACGAGCGTGGAAGCTTGAAAAGGGGGGTGGGGGATAAATTTCCGTGGCTCGAGGCTCCACCCCCGCCGCCCGTGTGCGCGTGGACCCACACTTAAACTATCGTTAGGCGCGCGGGGGACGCATCGCCTGCTCGTAATATGGGGCCGGCCCGCGGTAGGAGCGCGCCTCGCCGTCGGCCTGACAGAGGCAAGTACCTGGCGGAACCTTCCCACGGAAAATATATATAAATACGTTTCAAAGAAAACCCTTTCTTTAAATGCTAGCTGCTGCTGTCTGCCTCTGTCTGCCGAAACAACCCCGGGCCCAGTTTCACCAGAGTTTTCATCCCCTCCCGCGCGCTCTTACAGCCCCCGAAACTTGCGGAATTATTTTTATCACGAATCCCTCCTTTCCTCTCCACCCCGCGCCTCCCTCCTTATATCTTGTGATGCGATTTAGATGTAAGTTGGGGGGTTTGGGGGTAGAGAGCGCGCGCCGGCCCGGCCCGGCCCGGGAGTTGGGAGACCAAAGTTCTAATCCATTACTCATTTATGGCCACCCTTGCATGTCCCACGCCGTCTTATTCAAGTTGAAGTCCCACCCTGCCGCTGCGTGAGTGAGAGAGACGGACGACGACGTCATCTACACTCTCTCCCTGCTTAATATTTTTCGGATGATGTCCGCTCGTCTGCTCGCCCTCGAGGTTTCCAAGGACCCGCAGCCGCTGACAATGTAAGGGAGACGGAGGAGGCTACTGAGACCATCCACGCCATCACTCGCACCTCACGGTGTGCCGCTACACCTCGCCGAGCCAAGCCGTCTCCGAGTGGGGCGTGTCGATTTTCATGGCGGAAGATGCAACATTTTACGCGCCGCGGGCGCGAAGCTGGGCGAGAGAGACAGAGGAGGGAGGAGTGGGCGTCGTGGACGTAACGGAGCGTGATGCCCGCGGGGAGCGTAACGGAACGTTACGGGGACGTAACGGGACGTACCGTCAGCGATAGTGGTAACGACAGCCTGTTTTATGTCGCGAGGCCTGGCGCCTGGCGCCTAGCAGGGCGCGCCGAGGGCTCCCCCTGCGACCCCTCCGCTCGCCTCCGCGTCTCTATGTCCCTCTCTCAGTCTCTCTCTCTCTTTCCCTCTATCTCTCACACACTCATCCCCTCCTCGTGGATTCTTCGCGGTGTGT